ATTGGTAAAGGCTGAGTGATCAAAGCCGTACGTTGAACCATCTATCAAAATCTTGCATTGCATGCAATATGTATGTGTGTGTATTAATAATTAGCGTTTAAATAATGGCTTTGTTACCCCGTTATGGAAAGCCTACGGCACATGTATGATGTATCCCATAATTGCGTGCAATATTAATATAAAATAAATAATGTTTCTTTTATTTACGAAATATGACTAGGTACGACAATTTTAATCCGCCCGCAAATATCTACCCGCATAGTTCAAGTTTTTTTTTGGTGATAGTAGGTGGTAGTCGGAGGTGGGTCTTTAAAAATTAAATCCGTGATGGATTGGATTGGATTCAAATTTTATGTTAAAATCCCGCCTAGAACCCACCAGTAGGACCCACCGTGTGTGTATGCGTGCGTATGCATGTGCGCGCGTGTGTGTGAAATTAGTAATAATATGTAGTTAATTAATTACGGAATATAAAAATTTATTGAAGTTTTACTAACTTTTTACCATTTTTTGCTCTAAACTAATAAGTGTATTTAAAAAAAAAATTAACAATTTAGTTATTTTATTTGAATATTTCTATTATTTTATGCTTTAATATAATTAGTAAATTTTATTACTTTATTATATTTAAGTAATTGAAAGATTGTTTTAAATTTTTTTAATGAGATAATAAGTGGTAGGTACGGTAGTTGCATCCTCACTCGGTGGAGCTGTGGAGCGGGGGTGAATTTTGAAAATGTCCACCCAATATAATGCAGGTCGGGATAGGGGTGGGTGGAGAAAATATAAGGTCGGTCGAGTGATGGATGTAGCCCTTCCTGATCCACACCGACCATTGATATCCCTAAATATGAGTAAATGATTATTTATAAAATTACCTATATTTGTAAATGTTAGTATCTCCAAATTTTGTTCAATTTTGTATGCATATGTGGTAAAAACTTTATCTGGTCATCAGTTGCTTCTTGTAATGTTTATTTTTCTTCACTTGTTTAGGTTTATTAATCTTTGACATGTATGTGATATGTCAATTGATATGATTATTTATGTAGCAAAATTCGGTAAAGAAATTGGGTTAAATTAATGGAAAGCAATTGGTTAAGCAATTTGTGCTCAGATGGCATGTACTGATTTTTCCCATATGAGAGGTCATGAGATCGAACTTTAGTCGAGGCGTTGTTGATTCTTTATCCTGTAGATCTATGCTCTAGTACAATGTAATAGAGTCGTAGCATTAAAAAAATGGAAAGCAATTAGAATTATGCTCGGTTTGGAAACATGAAAAATATTTTATAGAAAATATATTATATTTTAAATTTTCTAGTGTTTGGATAAAAGTTAGAAATTATTTTTTTTTTTTTTTTTTTTTTTTTTTGCTTAAAGTAAAAAAAAAAAAAAAAAAAAAAAAAATTGGTCATTTTCTTTACATAAAATCTATTACAAAGTTATTTCTTGTAAAATATTAATATTTTAATGATAATAATAATAATAATAATAATAATAATAATAATAAATATTATTGTTTATATTAAATTTATTTAAAATTCCAAATTGTTATTGATAAGTGCATTTTTGTTTATATGTTTACCCATTTTGAATCCATTTTAATTGTGAATTGTCTAAAAACTTGTGTGAATTGTGACTAATTTATGTTGGTTTTATTTCAAGGTGCAATCATTCACAACAAGTGTGGAATTCAATGATTTTTTGGAAAGATCCTAGCAATTTTTAGACCAAAGAGATCAATCAAAGAGTTTGGAATGCATTTTAGGAATTTCCAATACTCTCGTACTGCCTTGTGTACCCCCTTCCCATGGCCAGTACGCACCTCTTCTCCCTAATCCAGTCCTCACTGGATTGTCACAAAAAATCGTACCCCCTGGCATGTATCCCCTGGCGTACGGCCATCATATCCCTGAGGCAGTACCATTGTGCTCTGTTCACTATTTAAGGGCGATTTTCCTCATTTCTACACGGTTTTGGACCTTGTTCCAACCCTAGACATTTTCTTTCACTTCCTTCCATATTTTAGTGTTAGATTAGGCTTAGATTTAGGTTTCTTTACACTTTTGAGTTTTGAAGCTTGTAATCTTGAATTTGAAGCTTGGATTCCGACATTTCAATATTCTACCATCCAATTTCTTTAGGGAAGTTTCCTTTCCCTTATCTCTTTATTTTGCTAGATTTATGTTTATTACTTGTGCTTTTGTGTTCTTTATGCTATTTAATCCTGAATAGTTAGTTTATGGACTTGAGTTAGGGTTGTATTACCTATCTTGATGCTTAGATTGTGATTATTGCAGAAAGGGGAAAAACTCTAACCTAGGGTTCTTCAGTTTTTGAAGGATTTGTGTTTGTATGTTGTTAATGTTTGATGTACACATTCATTAGCATGTTTTTGGAGAATTCTTGGCTACAATGAGAATTGGGGTTAAGGATTTTAGCCACCCTTGCATAAACCCAATTTTTCCTATGAAAATGGGAGAAATTGGGGGTTTTAGATGCTTTATGTGCTTGATAGACTTGGAATTGATTCACCATGAGAGTGGGACAATTCCTTGTTCTAATTCTTGTTTATTGATTACGAGAGTGGTTAATTAATAGACTAGGATACCTACGTGCATTCGCGGTTGACTCTTGGTTCTTTGTTTTCCCCTAATCCCATAGGTTGTTGAAGCATCTAGATGTTAATGTTCCCTAGCTTGAGTCCTATTTCTTTATTTTGTGTTTACCTTTTGTTCATATGTGTTTGTGTTACTTTCTTTAGTTACTGTAACCTTGAAAGTTGTTGTTATTTCCTTAGTTTCGTGTTGATTTCCTTATACTAGTCCCTAGTTGCTTGTGATTGCGTATTACGTGCCATAAATCCCAATTCCCTAAGGACGACATTTGACACCCGTACACTCACCATCACTCATTTTTGCTGCAATCAGTTATAAATATTAATAATTATTATATTAAAATTGTAAATAAATTATCTTTAACGGGTAACTTATTATAATAAAAATAAATACATAAATTGATAAATATAATAATTTTGAAGTAGGTAAATTGAAGAAAAAAATTGTAGTTATTTATAAAAGTTTATATAACTTCGTGTATCTTTTACTACTTTTATATCTAAACTACTAAGTTTATTTTTAAAAATTAACAATTTAATTATTATATTTAAACATTTCTATTATTTTATGTTTTATTATCACTAATGAATTTTATTATTTTATTATGTGTAAGTAATTTAAATATTATTTTTTGAAAAAAATAATAAGATGATAAGTGGTCGGTACCCGTAGTGGGCACCCGCACCCTGTGGGGGTGGGTTTTGAAAAAGTTCACCCTATGCGAGTTAGAGGTGGGGTGGGTGGAGAAAATATAAGGTGGGTCGGGTGATGGATGTAGCCCTCCCGACCTACACTCGACCCATTGCCATCTCTAGATGTGAGTTGGAATGGACGAAAATTGTCATTTCTCTTTCGAGTGTCTATCCCTAGGTAAAGTAAAAGTTTACAAAATGAGAGGAGTTTGAATAAATTTTTAAACAGTTTTGAAAACCTTTTTAAAGAATAATTTGAATTTGTGTGTTGCCGAAATCTTAAGAATTTGCTTAAAATTATTTATGTGCACCTGATTCAGCGGACTATATTGAATTTGTGTCTCCCAAAAATGCCAAAATGAATATCCAAAGTTGGCCAAACTGCCAATCAATAATATATAATTGAGTTTGACTAAATATAATTACATTTAATTTCACTATGACACTCCAAATTTAAAATTTTAAAAATAAGTTGAGTTTTGGTAAATGTTTTGAAATTAGAATTATGAATTTGCTTTAGAGAAAGAAAGTTTAATAATTTAGTTAGCGACGACGCGACAGATGGCAGATTACTTCTTTATTTTTATTTTACTTTCTTTTTATCAAATCAATAAACAACATGATGATGAGAGTATTCCGACATTTTTACTCCGAATTAATACCCAATTTAGATTATTGATTATAGTAGATTTTTTTCAATTTAGTCCTAAATGACTTTTTGTATTTAATTAGGTTATCGAATTTGATGATTTTATATATTCAATTAAGTCTTTTGTTAAAATAACTTGGTAATTTCACATCTATTACTATATATCCAATTTAGTCATTGACTATAATAGTTTTACTCAGCTTAATTAGTCTTCGACTATAGTGATTTTACATAATTTAGTCATCGACTATAGTGATTTTTCTCGATTTAGTCCTTGATTCTAACAGTCGAGCTGAGGACTCAATTACAATTGTGCAAAACTATCAAAGTCGATGACCTAATTAAGCATAGAAAGTAGTTTCGGACTAAATTGAGTAAAAACACTATAATCGATGACTAAATTGGGTATTAACACTTTTTACTCTATAGCCTTTTGTTTACATCTATCAAAAATTTCTCTTTTTGTAACCATTGGCTTTCTAATCACAATTTTCAAATTTGACTTTTTGTGTGAGCTATTTATTGACCTTCTTGGTTTGAGTCATTTGATTTATTGTTTGCCGGCTAAGATCACATGATAGAATTTACCCATAGCGTACTTTTAGATGGGTTAGTAGCTACAAGCTTGTTTGGTGTCAGGCGGGTCGGTCGAGTTCAGCCCTCTCGATTCGAGACATGACACTGTGGCTTACCATTGAGGAATATTGTTGAATGGTTAATGTCTACTTATTTATCTCCAATTGATTTTAAGTACAGCATGACAACTAGATAGCTAAAAAAACTTTGTGGTTAATCGTGCTTCATTTACAACAGTCATTGGACGGGTGACCCTGTTTGGCACGCCTAGCTGAACGATAAAAGTTGAAAAGTTAGTACTTAATAAGCTAATAACTAATTAAAATTAAAGTGTTTGATAAACTTAATTGTTGAATTACCTGATAAGTTAAAAATATATAAAAAATATATAAAAGGATAAACTGGTGGCCAATCCTTTGCCTTGGCTGCAGATTGGTTACTTTCGAATTGGCACGGTTGGCGATGGATATCAGCTGGGAATCAACTACAACGACGAATCGCTATATGCTTTTGAATTGGTAAAGGCTGAGTGATCAAAGCCGTATGTTGAACCATCTATCAAAAATTTCGCATTGCATGCAATATGCATTATTAATTAATGAACGTTTAAATAATGACTTTGCTATCCCAAGTTCGGATCCCTTCTCATATGGAAAAATTAATTTGGTCAACACTTTATCCCTAATTAGATTAGTTAAGTGTGAATGAGAATTAATTTAAATATAATACGTACTTAAAGATGTCTCTTATAGTTAGAGTCTATTACAGAGATTTCATGGCTTGAAAAAAAAAAAAAAATAATTAACGTTTAAATAATGGCTTTGCCACCCCGTTATGGAAAGCCTACAGCACATGTATGATGTATCCCATAATTACGTGTAATATAGATATATAATAAATAAAATTTCTTTTTATTTACGAAATATGACTATAATTATTTATAAAATTACTTATATTAATGATCGATAGTGTTTTTTTTTTTAATTTTTAATACAAAGAGCCAATAACACCTTCACTAAGGCTTGAACTCACAACCTTCCAAATGGAAGTCTAACCCGGGTACCATTAGACCACATAATCCTAGTGATTGATAGTATAAATACGCTGCAATGTCCCAAATATGTACAACTCGATGGGTTTGACCGTATTCAGGTCCTTTTACCGTATGCTTGTTGGTTTAAATATATAGGCATATAGCAGCGCAATCTGAGATCAGAGAGTTCCGAGCTAAGGTAGGGTGGGTGAAGATGTCCAAAAAGTCCACCCTCCTTGCATTAAATGTGGTATTTATATGGGAGGAAGGAGACACATGCCGGATCTCGGCATGCTTGGTACGTGTCGCACATGCAGCCGACTAGCACGGGAGCAGCGTTATGATGTCTATGTATTACGATATTCCTAACCAACCACTAAGTGATGTGACTGGCGCAAAGTCGGGAACCAGAGTATCAATTCTCAAGTAGCCTAGCCCAAGGCGAACTTCCCGACCTAAGAAGGTCGGGATCCCCCGAGGTGGAACGGAGTCTAATAATGAAGAGGTGTTTACTCGGGCTTCACACTTAAATCGGGTTGGTTAGTCGTTAAGTTGGTCATGGTCCGGAGCAATACCTCTTAGTGGTCTGACCTAATACAGAGCAAGTATACGATACACGTAGGTAGGAATACTGGGGAAATATTTTCCATAAAGTAGTCCCCTAGTTCATGCCCTAACGTCGACCTGGCAAGGAAGGGTTCAAACTAAAACTCCCGACCAAAATAACTCTCAAAGCCCCTTTTGCTGGGCTAGAATTGATGAGTGCAGTGCAGGTTCACTGGACGAGGCGTGGATCATTGTTCGTGTCCCTGTCGCCAGACACGTGTCAACATATCACTGCTCGTTTAGGGATCCATTCTGAATTTTGAAAATTTTCCCCCTCGCCATCTATAAATATAACGTAGTGGGGGACCAAATTCACGCTTACCCTTCTACGAATTTGAGAGCCTCCCGTGCAAAATCACATGCAAAGGATCTCACACATTCCCTCGATCCATCCAACTTCATTTTCTATTGGCAAAGTACCTTTACTCGACCTAATAATTACTTTAATTTTAAGGGTCTTGTCGGTCTGGCTTTCCCATTCTAAAGTGTCTCCCCCCCCCCCCCCCCCCTCCTCCCCTCCCCGCCCCTCCCCTAACCTCAAGGAGGAGACATGACATATTCAGATGTTTTAAACATCTTCGTAAAACGGATCTTCAGTGTCAGTCCTTCTGTTGTTGAATCTGATCAACCAGTCTTCTGTAGAACAAACCGACACCAAGCTAACCCTATCTTAGTTTGCCATAATAATATTGCCAATTATATGTTGGGGGGTTTTTGAGCAAATAAAACACTAACAAACTCCCCCTTTGGCTATTATTTGGCAAAACAACTCAACTACTTATAAAAACACAAAGGGCTCTTGAGTCAGAAGAGATCTCCCGTTGTTGAGCAGCTGCCAACCCCTATACCTACAGGTTGCCGAGGATGAAACCAGACATCGGCTTGAGATTCTCCGTAACAGGTCAAATACTTTTGATTCCCCTATTGAAATCTCTCCTGATAAGCCTAATGATTTAGTCTCTGATGCTATTCCGTCTGCTGTGCCTACTATTTCTGATAATGTGAATGCGTTAATATCTATGAAATCCTCTGTGTCTGATGATTCCCCCTGCATCCCCTCTACGAAGCCTGAACCTTTGAAGGAAGTTGTTGATGTTGTGTCTGATGAGAATGATAAACCGTCTGATCAGTCCAACAATCTGAGTTTGGTTGTTTACTCTGCTGATCAAGTTGCTCTGTCCCCTTCTGGAATTGCTGCATCTCCAAAAGAACTCTGTCCATCTGAAAATCCCACCGGTTTACCCACAGAAATTGAGGTTGCTGATCCCTCAAGGTCACAAGTTGAGGGTGTTGTTAAAAAAGAACCATATCGTGTGATTCATCCTTCTGAGTCGTCTAGTGAAGACGATAAATTTCTTGCTGAAGTCTATGGCTCACAAGCTCCTGTCTCTAAGCCCCCAACTGTTGAAGCTACTGCAATCCTGATTCAACCACCTTCAAGATTCGTGAAATTACAAATCTGCTTGGAAGTTCCTCTGCTCATGTTTCTGATTCCAGCCACTCTGTGTCTCCAAGCCCTTCTGCTCATTCCCCATCCAAAGAGACAAGAAAATCCAAACGGAAGAGTATCCTTTTGAAAGTGGTTGTGGAATCTAGTGATGACAATCTTGATGTGGTTCAACCTGAGAAGAAGAGAAAGTCTGATGAGTCTGTCCATACTGAATCTAATCCTCCTGTGCAACAAGTGTTCAAGACCCCGCGATCATCTGTCAAGCAAAAAGCACCTGCTGTGGTTCCTACATCTTCTACCCGGAAGGGGAAACCAATTACTCGCTCCAGAGGACAGAGTATTACGCCTGAGGTTCAACCTACTGATGCAAATCCTGATACATCCATCTATAGACCTCAGTTTGTCTCCTCTACTGCTCAAGGAAAATGGTCCACGATGATCCGGAGAGATCTTATTGTTCAGAGGTCTGTTGATGAACACCAGATGAATTCTGTTTGCGACATCTTGCCATTGCTGAGTGAAGTGGGCCTGTTGAAGACTGTTTCCTCCATTTGCCCTTATTCGAAGCTCCTGACTTATGAATTCTACTGTAATCTTAATGAGGAGATTGGCATCCTGACTGGGCCACGACCAATGCAAATCTTCATTCGAGGTAAATGGTATGTCTTCGGCCCTGACATGATAAATGAATATTATGGTTTGAAAGCAGTGCATGAAGAAGCAATCACGGACTGGGATTTGGTGGCAAAGACCCTCACAGGTAGACAAACTGATTCATGGCCTACTGGTGAAAAAGATTATATACCTAGCTCACAGCTCACCTCCAAATATGTCATCTTGCATCATCTTGCTCTTCACAACTGGCTTCCATCGGCTCATTTTCATACGGTCGGGAAGCAATTGACAGGTCTCTTGTTTCGGATTGGATCAAAAATGGCTATTGATTTGGGGGCCTGGATTTATTATCATATACTCACTTTGATCCATCCTCGAGAGCAGAAGGAATGGTTGCCCTTCCCTAATCTGATATTTGGACTTCTAACGACACAGGGCCTTGAGCCAATGCCTAGTGAGGTGATCAGTCCGACTCTGCTGTATACTGTTGATCCCCGTCTTCTGACTGGATGTCACATCCGAGATGTTACGCCGGTGATTGCTCCTTCCACGACTGATGCTGATACAGTGGCTGATGATTCGCCACATGCGAAAGATGTCCAACTCTCTCTTCGTCTAAAGGCCCGGCGGGTATCTAAACTTGAGATTATTCATGGGATCATTTCGAAGCAGCTGACAGGAGCCCGTACTAAGTTGGCTACCGTTCTTCTCCGCTTAAGCTTGACTGAATCTGCTGCTGCTGATGCTGCTAAGTCTGACAGTGTGAACCACTCCGATGCTTGACCGTGCTTTGACTATCATTGGCAAAAAGGGGGAGTGTGGAACTCAGGGGGAATATTTTTGAAGTTTTTGTACCTTCTGGCCCTGTCTGGGCGACTGATTGTGATGGCACCACTACGAAGAATGTTGTTTTGTGCCAGCATGACTTGTATGCTGTTTTTTTTTTAATTTTATTTTATTTTATGTTTTGTAATTAGATCTTTGGTTTTTATGCTTTTACTATCTTCGTCCTATCTAGTTTGTGTTTTATAAGTAGTCGAGTTGTTTTGCCAAATAATAGCCAAAGGGGGAGTTTGTTAGTGTTTTATTTGCTCAAAAAACCCCAACATATAATTGGCAATATTATTATGGCAAACTAAGATAGGGTTAGCTTGGTGTCGGTTTGTTCTACAGAAGACTGGTTGATCAGATTCAACAACAGAAGGACTGACACTGAAGATCTGTTTTACGAAGATGTTTCGTCGTTGCAGAACACGGTTTAAAAAGTCTGTTTTGGAAAGAAGATCAGCGTATTTGCTTTGGAAAGGTATGGACCGGATCTTTAAGATTACATTCTTCTTATATCGTCCTACCATCTACAATCAGAGGTATCTATGGAGAGTGTTCTTATATTGGAACTATAAGTACTCTTATTCGATCAAGAATTAGGGTTACGCTTTTGAGAAGTAAGAAACACTCAGACGTATACTAAGAGATACATCTCTGATTATCATGACTCTTCTCAAGACAATTTGTTCTTGTTGATTATGATGAAGAACTTGAGAAGAGATATCGTTGCTTAAACGAAAAGGACGCTAAGATCACACAGTTGTGGGAACAATGTTGGACTGCGTCATTGAAGTGGACTGCATCAGAGTTAGCTTTCCAAGTGAAGGGATTTCATTGGACTTCTGTATGCACGACTCTCCATCTTCAACAATCCACTAAGTCAGTGTAGACTGGGTACTTACCTTGTGTGGGGCACTTGGGTGAGATTACTGTTCTCTACCTTTGTACATTTGATGATTTATTAGTGGATTGGACGCCTATGTGATCGTCCCCCAGATGTAGATACACACTGTATCGAACTGGGTAAACATCTTGTGTGTTGTTCTTTACGCTGTCTTCCTTAGCTTTATCTTTCCGCAAGTTAATTAGTGTTTCAGCTATCTGACTGATATCATCGTTGAATCTGTCAGACTAATTCGTCAATCTTTTAATTAATAACATTAAATTGAGAGAATGCAAAAAAAATATATCAAGCTGCATTAGTCAAACTTCTCCAATTACGAAATTGCTATATTGCTTCATACTTTTAGGGGGGTGTATTCAATTAAGACTTTCATAGAGTTTTAAAGACTTTTATGAACTTTAAAAGTTTGGAGGTATTCAATTCAAACTTTTAGAGAGTCTTTAAAAGTCAGGCAGTATTTAATCAAGATTTTTAAAGAGTCTTTAAAAGTCGTGTGGTATTCGATTAAGACTTTTAAAGAGTCTTTAAAAGTCATGTGGTATTCAAAAAGTTATGAACTTTTGTAGACTTTTAAATTTTAAGACTTTTGTAGAATTTTCCTTCTCAAATATAAATAGTTGAAATTCAACCATCAACCCCAAGATTTCAAATTTTCTTTCTAACAACTTTGAATGTTTTCTCTCTCTATTTAAACTCTATTTTTCTCCCTATTTACTCTATAAACATATCTAAATTCAATAAAAAAAAATTTTTCTTCATTATCCTATATTTTTCCTCATACCTAAACTCTACCAATTTTTCTCTCTCTCATAAACTTTAGAATCTTCATCTAAAAAATCGAAATAATATTATTTTTACTTCATTATTGCTTGTTTATATTGGTTTTTATTTTTTTTCTATGAATTTTTTTATCCCTAACTTTCTCTAATTCTCCCTAAATACATGAACAAAGTAAATTTTTATCGTCAACTTTTAGTATATGTTTCATAATATTCATATAAATACTTATATATTTTGATTTTTATTATTTTTATGTTTATATTCGTAATATATATTTTTCCTTTTTTTAACAACAGGTTACTACGAATAGCGAATTACTGGTCGCAACAACAATTTGGAGTTGCAAACAGTAGCACCTTGTTGTTGATTGCAGTCTCAAATTGCTATTGCAAATAATAGTTCTTTGCATGATGCCTAGAAATATATCAAGGATAATTATATATATATATATTATTAATATTAAATTTTTATTTTTTTTATTTTATGCAACTTGTAATTATATTTTTAAATATTTTATTTGATCAAGTCTTTTATTATAAATTTTATTGTTCAATATTGTTATGAATTTCTAATGAAATATTTTTTTTTTGTTGATGTTTATTAATAATATATATAAGTAATTAGCATATAAGTCTCAACGTACTATGGATAAAAATAATAATGTTGGGAGTTGATGTGGGTGAAGAACTATATAATAAGAAGAATTTTATGATATATTATAAATGTTTTGTAAGAAAATTTTAAATGATAAGAATCAAAATCATTGAAAGTTTGTAATGGTGTATTTAATTTAGAATTTCAATGACTTTTGTAGACTTTTTAAAATAAAAAGTTGATAAAAGTCTATGAGTGTTTTTTATATAGACTTTTATAGTCTTATAAAGTTTTAAAAAGTTTTCAACGACTCTATGAAAGTCAATCAAAGTTTATTAAAATCTATCATTTTAAAAGTCTTTAAAACTTTACAAAAATCATGATTGAATACACCCCCCTAAGGATCCAAGTAATTGACTTAGTGGTTCATTTAAATAGATGAGTTGGACCTTATTGTATGAAGTGATGAATATAATTGTCGTTGTTGCAAGTAGTCATAATGCAAACCTGCACCATACACTAATATTGGTTTGTACCAATTCAATATTAACCATTGCGCATTTAGAGGATTAATACGTGACTTTTATTCACTGCAAACCCAGCACCATACGCAAATATATGATTCTAATACCCTTTATTGTATATATATAGTTGACCAAAATGGAATATCTCCATAGGTCTTCTTGTTTAAAACATTTCTAGAATTATTATCTTTCTTACGTTTCTACTAGGTTTAGGAGATTTGATCTCTAAACCTCGTAGTTTAACGTTGGATCAATCCCGAAGTGTATGTATAACTCATGCATTGATTTTACGTATAATTTAATTTATTAGAAATTTCTCAAACATTTTATTCAAACAATGTTTTTTTTTTTTTTTTTTTTTTTTTTTTTTTGGTAGGATATATGGCTATCTTAACAAGGTCAAACCAGTGGATATGTTTGTTGGTTTTTTCATTGGTTATATTGGTGCATTCAATAGGATCAGTCGCCAGTGTTCCTACATTTATTTTAGAGAGTGCTAAAGATGAAGGAGCTGGTAAAATACAAAGCTCTAATGAATTAAATGAAATTGTTAAATTAATTGAAAATATTAGCTAGAGTTTATCTTATTTAATTTCCATACATTTGCAGTTTGTTTGGATGGGACCCCACCAGCATATAATTGGGATGCAGGGAAAGATGAAGGTGTACACAATTGGGTACTTCACCTTCAAGTGAGTGTTGTATATATAATGAATTGTTTGTTCAATTTTTTGTTAGATCTGTTTAAAAAAATGAATCATTTCTTTTCTTTTGGAAGAACTTATCCCAGAATTTCATTATATGCTTTTCTAAGCATTATATTCTATTTCATCTGGTATTTTGTAAGAATCAAATAGACAGATAGAGTCTAAAATAAAATATACTTCCACCAGCATATAATTTCCATACATTTGCAGTTTGTTTGGATGGGACCCCACCAGCATATAATTGGGATGCAGGGAAAGATGAAGGTGTACACAATTGGGTACTTCACCTTCAAGTGAGTGTTGTATATATAATGAATTGTTTGTTCAATTTTTTGTTAGATCTGTTTAAAAAAATGAATCATTTCTTTTCTTTTGGAAGAACTTATCCCAGAATTTCATTATATGCTTTTCTAAGCATTATATTCTATTTCATCTGGTATTTTGTAAGAATCAAATAGACAGATAGAGTCTAAAATAAAATATACTTCTTTCTTTTTATTAAATAAAAAGAAAGTTGTCAAATTTAGTACTTTAATATTGAATCTTTTTCAATTGTAATCTACGGTAAGCTTTTCTTTGTATGGATAGTTAAACTTGAGAGTGCAATTATGGTTGTTAGAATAAAAAAAAAATTAGGGTGATATGATTGGACGACTAAATCTAAAAGTAACTATTTTCATTTTGGATCCAGGGAGGCGGGTGGTGCTTGAATAGTACTCTTTACGAGACACTCGATTATAGTGTTCAAAGTTGTAAAAGTCGCGTGTATGGTTATCTGGGTTCTTCAGAACACATGCCGGCCACCGAAGACTTAATAGGCATGTTAAGTGGTGACCCTAAAATAAATGTTTTCCACAACTGGAATCGAGTCCTCATTCGATATTGTGATGGAGGATCATTCGCGGGAGATGTTGAACAACGCGATCCTGTATGTATACTTTTTATTTAGGCAAATTCGTCTATGAGACTGTCTCATGAACTTTCATCCATAAGACGGATTAGTCTCACGAGAGACTCCCTCTTTTATTCAACTCCCCAAGTCTTAAATCAAACATAAACTTCGATATATAAGCTAAGGGAAAATGTAATACTTATGAGAAAATATATGATTATTATTACATTTTTTAATATAAGTATTACATTTTTATCTTGATTTGACCTATCTAATTATCTATTTTTCTCAGGTTACTAAACATTACTACAGAGGTGCAAGGATTTTTAATGCGATTGTGAAGGATTTGTTGGCCAAAGGACTGAAAGATGCTAAAAATGTATTTTGTTCTGAACTGTACTAAATAGTGTGGTTCAATCAATATATATTGCAAGAATATAATTACAGCCAAATACAGGGAAGGATTTAACTTGTATATATATTTATTATTATAAATGACAGGTACTTCTTTCCGGCGGTTCAGCAGGAGGGTTGGGTTCAATCATACATTGTGATCGCTTTCGAGCTCTATTTTCTAAGAATGTTAGAGTAAAATGTCATGCCGATGGTGCTCTCTTCCTCCGTGTGTAAGATACAAGAATATAGTTTTTATTCCACTTTTAGTTTTATCCATTCATTTATAGCAATTTTTTTTTCTACTTATAATTCTAAACTTTGAATTGTTCTATTTTAGTACTCAATTTTTTTTAAATGTTTCAAAAGTTGCTCCAGAATATCTAAAATTCCCTATATTAAGGGCATTTAGTCATTTTATACTGAAAGTGAAACGTTTTTAAAGTTGTGAACTAAATGCAAAAGAAAAAAAAAATTGAAAGTGAAAAAAAATATCATTATAATTCAGTGACAAAATGTGGATTAAACGCAAAAATATAAAAACATTTTCAGTAATTTTTTTTTGAAAATAACATTTTCAGTAATTTAATTTTATAATATGTTATGTTTAGTTTAGTCAATTTATTTCTCTACTACAAATAAACATGGATTAAATGCAACAATATAAAAACATTTTCAGTACTTTTTAATATGTTATGTTTAATCAATTTATTTCTCTATTACAAATAAACAGGAAAAATCCCGAGCAAGCAAAATTCTTTGCTACTGTTTTTCGCAATGTAGTTGACCTACATGTAATTCTCTATCCTTCTTTTCTCTCCTTCCACTTATTTTTCTCAGTTACAATTTACTTGCATGGAGATTTATATTACTTTTTATTTTTACAAAATATATACTTGCACCATATATATCAAAATTCAAGCTTTAAATAACATTTTTTTAAAAAAAAAAATTATTTTCTGACGATTTCTTTTGACATACATTTCTTGCTTGTTGTAGAAACCTGACAAGGCATTACCTGTTGAGTGCACTTCAAAAATGAGTCCATTTGAGGTAAGTTAATTACTATAAATTAAATGTTCATCAAATTTATTTAATTCATTTCTATAAAAATTGAATAAATTTTATTCTATAAGAATATTTTGTATGTAAATTGTTAATATTCGGTAGGTAAATTGTGTATTTAAAACTTGAGTTTATCTCATAAAGTGTACCCAGTATATGGTATAACAACTCATCAAATGTATGTGTGCAGTGCTTTTTTCCAAAATCTTTGGTGCAATATGTTAAATCTCCGATTTACTTCCTCAATTCTGCATTTGATTCATTTCAGGTTAATTTCCTCGTAATTGTTTATTTATTTTATTTATTATTGGATAAGTCTGACTTATTTCATTATTTATTAATTTATTTTTTCGTTCTTCTCAAAAGATAAGAAATACATTTTCCGAAGAATTGCACGAGGCCATTAAGAATCACACCCTTAATAAAGATGATGTGCCTATGCTTAAAGGTACATTCCCATTTTTGTTCTTCTTACTAATAAAATAGCTACTTTTACCATTATAAAAATATTTAAATGGATATCATATGTTTATATATAATAATAATAATAATAATATTATTATTATTATTATAGTGTGGCGTCTATGAAATAATTTTTTTTTCCTTTTTGTTTTTAGATTTCAGGCAGCAATTGATAAGTGTATTGCCCCCACCAAGTAGTGACAAAGGATTTGTAATTACTTCTCTCTTCGGACATACGTTTACTCGACAGGGCTTGAAGAAACCCATGTTCGTCGACGATAAATCCGAGGTATCAATTTGTTTCTACATTGCATGAGAAAAGATACAATTACGCACATAAAAATGTCAATTTAATGCATTAACACCTAAAAACGGGTTAGTGACCTGTAATAACAGGTCACTAGAATGCTTGCGGATATCCATCACCTTTTAAGTGAAATCACCAACGGGCGACGAACAAGTTGACGGAGAAGGAATGAACTGTGACACATTCTCCAATTGACAGAGAAGACGACCAATTTGGTTCCATCTCTAGTCGCCGTAGAAGGAAACCAATTGCGATGTTTTTTCGGTGATTGGTTGGTCGCATGTCGTCAATTTTCACCCAGAACCTCATTAGACAATAGTCGGAACCCTAGTGACCTATTATTACAGGTCACTAACCGGTTTTTAAACTTTGATATACTAAATTGACATGTATCGGCTTAATTGCAACTTTCAAAAATTTAAGAGCTAATTAACCCTTTTCCCTAATTATTTCTACATTGCATCTTATATTTTGGCTATTGTTTAATCTCTATGTATTTACCTTACACGCATGCATACATATACATATAATACTAATAATAATATAATTAATCATTTATATATCTCAATAATAACTAACTATTTATAATTAATTAATTAAAACAGTTTTAGATAAACTTGGACTAGGTTGAGAAAGTATATGAACAGATACTACATTGTAATAGAGCTAGTAGCATTCAAAAAAAAAAAAAGAAGATAAACTTGGACTAAATACCCTTAAACAAAAGGACTAATACACCTCATGTAGAAATTTTTTTGAGGGGTTCCTTAGGATTTTTCTTAACCTTAAGTTCAGAAATTATTCACAATATCAACTGCATAAAAATATAACAATAACAGTACACTACTTCATTAAAAAAAAAAATTCTAAAATTCAAATTATATATATAGAGTTAATTTCACTACACACCTATCCACAAATCGAATTTAGTCTTCTACATTTTTAATTACTTAGAAAAGTAATGTATTTGCAATATTTTCTGATTTATATTATTTTTTAAATCAATTTATTTTATGAAGCTGATGATATTATATTAATGTAACTAGCATATATACTCTTTCAGACATTTGAGAGCGCACTTATGGATTGGTTCTTCGACAAATGTTCCGTGAATAAGATAGACCCAAAAGAGGTGCCAGTATATGTAGAACGCTAAATTGTAGAGAAATGCTAAAAGCTGATGTATTGAATATATGTATTATGTTACTCATCATTTTACGGCAATGAATAATCAAAATCTTTAATTCATTATATATAGCTTACTTTCAATTTATAATTTTGTGCTACATGCTAAGATGGAGCATATGCTTCAATTATAATGCTCACTGAACAATACGCGATATCTTCAAGAGGTTTTAGTATTTTGAGTATTTGATCATCTACTACTTCAACTTGTGTTTTTTTATCGAACTTCCTCTGTATATAGATTTGTATTGTTGTATCTTTGCTTTATGGAATTTTTGAATTGTATAATTTTACAAACGAAACTTTGGGGTTCTTAAATTCTAATTTGATTTTTATATTGCATCATTAAAATTTAATTACACACTTATTCGTAACAATTTATCTCTGTCGTGTAAATAATCGTTAAGTCTATTATCAAGAAAAATGAAATTTACTATTTCGTTAAGGAAAATGATCCGTAATAAATTCTTAAGGTACAACGTAAAAATATGGTAATTTATATGAAAGTGCTATATATATTTTTTGTTTTTTTTTTTTGTTTTTTTTTTTTATTTATTTTTTTAAATTTAGTTTTTTATTTTCCTGGTCTGCTGTAGAAGGAAAGTTGTAAATGAAAGTTGGAGCAATGTTGCATAGAGCAACAATTAAACACGAATAAGGTTTTTTCGTTGGAATTCCTATATTTGAAAATAATTTTTTTTTTTTATCTATACACGAATTCAAACTTTTTTTGCCTCATTTTTGGATTTGATTTGTACCTATTGCGTACAAGGGAGAGCCATAATTATTTAAACATTTTTAAAAGTAGAATTGTATATATATTAGCACAAATTTACTTTTGTTGTTCTCTGATGTGGGACGAAGATTACTTAAAAGCCTTCTCGACCCTATTTTTATCAACTCAAATAGATTCATTTTAATTTGATAACTAATTTCTCATTGACCTATTACTTTGTTCGAGTGAATAATATCTCAAATTAAAGATCCCACTTAGAAAAATTCAAATTCATTTCAACTCGATCCAAATTGAAAGTGGACTCAATCAAAACTTTGCCTCAAACTGACCATTTTACATGACTACAATAGTTTTAAGGTCACCTCAGTCAAGTCCATCGCTTAAGGTCTTACTTTTTTAGCATATAATATATAACATATATGTGAAATTCAACTATCAAGTTTAGATTTTAGTTGAGATGAAACACATGATTTAATTCGGTATTAGAGTCAACTCCATGCAAGAGGTCATGAGTTCAAATCTCTACTGTACCCGATAAATGAGACTATACAGTCTACATGTTACTTGAAGCACTAATAATTTCACCAAAACTTATACCATTGTATTTTGCACACCAAAATTTGTGATGTTCTTATGTGCAAACTAAACGCACCCTTAGAAAAAGATTAGAGTGGAGGAGTGGGAAATCGCCAAGCTGAAAACAGAGGAAATGGAGATTGCATCCTCAGGCCAAGTGATCATTCTTCATTTTCTCAGGCTTTCTACCTTAGCGACTTGTTTAGTTGGAATGAATTAGAATTTCGCTCTCACCTAATTCTGAAGGTAAACAAATTCTTTCATTTGATGGAAGTGAATTATAATTTCCTCATTATCATAGAATTATAATCCCATGCTAGTGGTATTTCAATTCAACATTAATTGGGAAGAAAAAAGATATAATTGAGACAAAATTGTCATCTTATTTTGAGTTAATTCCACTGGAGGTCCCTTGTCTTTGGTGGCAATTTCAAATTTAGTCCCAGACTATCGTTTTTGTCATTTTACATCCTAGACTATCGTTTTTTGGACACTTTTAGTCCTTCTCATGTTTTTTTTTCTATTTTTAATAAGGACATTTTTGTCTCTTTATATTTTTCTTTTGTTATTTTTTTAGTTTCAACCAGCTTAATTGGGTAATTTATATCTTGCACCACGACGCGCGTTGCATTGTGCGCCAGATGCAAAACGACGTCGTTTCAATTTTATTTTTTTTTTAAAATTTCGCTACGCAGTGTTTGGCAGTTCAGTTTCCTTAAAAAAAATCTCATGTTCAAAAATGTACATAATGTTATACTAGAATACACATAATTGTATACATGAATGTACATAATTATATAACAAAATACGCATACTCTTTTTTACAAGATAATACACAATAAACATAAACTTTTAACATAATACACATCAACTCTTAACATAATACACAAAAATTTCCTAATTCGGATGTACATAATTGTATAAAAAATGTACATAATAAAAAATATACATAATCATGTCAACTTACTACCGTGCCTCCCAAAACGACGTCGCTTTGGGACGCAAATTATGCCCTGGACTCGTGTCCACAATGCATTGTGGACACGAGTCCAAAACGACGTCGTTTTCATGGAAAACGCGTCATTCCAGTTTTTTTTAAAAAATTGATTTTGTCTCGCTGTTAACGGCGTTATTCGTTTGTGCCATTATGAATGTACAGTTATGGGATTATGAATGTACAGTTATGGAATTATGAATGTACAGTTATGGAATTATGAATGTAAGTTATAAAATTATGAACACAGAGCTCTGACATTATGAACTTACAATTATGAACATATAGTGATAAAATTATGAACATAGAGCTCTAAAATTGTGAACATGGAGCTTCGAAAATTATGATTTTAAAGTTATTGAATTATGAATGTACAGTTACGGAATTATGAATGTACAGTTATGCAATTATGAATGTACAATTATGGAATTATGAACACAGAGCTATGACATTATGAATTTACAATATGAACAGATAGTGATAAAATTATGAACATATAGTGATAAAATTATGAACATAGAGAGCTCTAAAATTGTGAACATAGAGCATCGAAAATTATGAAGTTACCGTTATTGAATTATGAATGTACAGTTATGGAATTATGAACATAGAGCTCTGACATTATGAACTTACAATTATGAACATATAGTAATAAAATTATGAACATATACTCCTGTAACGAAGCGGTCTGAAATTTAAAAAAATAAAAAAGTGGAAGATAACAGTGCCACTAACAACACTGTTACCCGTGTCCAGCACGCATGCTGGACATGGGTCCATAGCATAACGATTGGCTTTGGGAGGCGCAGGGCGCACAGTGCACTGTGCGCCCTGGTGCAGGGTATAATGATTGGTTTAATTGGTTTAGGACTTTACTAAAAATTTGTTGAAAAATATGGTTACTAAAAATCAGAGGTTACCTAAAGTTCTAAACCAATTAAACTGGTTGAAACTGGAAAAAATAACAAAAGAAAAATATGAAGAGACAAAAATGCCCTTACTAAAAATAGAAAAAATCATGAGAAGGACTAAATGTTGGGAGCTATTAAATATGTTCTAGTGATACAAGTTTATATCTAAAGTGTCTAAATAACAACTGCATTGCATTATAGTTTGGGTGAATCAACAATTTGGTCCCTTAGTTATTTGCGACTTGTCAATGTAGCCCCTCAATCACGTATTCATCGATTTGGTCCCCGAAAATAATTGTTTTTCGTCAATTTAGTCCCTATGGCCGTATTCCTTCAAGACTCAGGCGAGAGCTCCGATTTGCCCTGGGCATTTTGGTCTTTTCACGCTTTCTTCTTCATTAACTCTGGCCAAGCTTCGCCGGAGGGAGCTCCATCTCTTCTCTGCTCGTCGAAATGAGCTCACCGCCGTATAACCACCCAAGAACTGATATTACACTCTGAATTTCACAATACTTTGAAGATCAAATCGTTTTCCCAGCTGCCGTGGAGAACAACGGCGTTTACTACTCCCAAAATCTGCCGACTGTGATGGTGACCAACGACAACGGATCGGAGTGGATGCTCCTAGGTTGAGAGCTCTAGTTAGCGTCCTCGTCTCCACTAATCACTTCAACGTCCTCGTTTGCGCTCCTGATTCCGAGAAATCGGCGGTTAGTCACAACATAACCTAGCGCCACGCAATTCGGGCCAAAAGAGTTCACGACATTCCCGGAGCCACTGCGTTTGCAGTTGTCGGAACTCCACCTCGAGACCACCTTGCTTGAGCGCCGCCGTGACAAACCACGAGACCACCTTGCCTGAGCGCCGCCGTGACAAACCACGAGACCACCTTGCCTGAGCGCCGCCGTGACAAACCACGAGACTTGTCGAACCGGGTTCGCGGAGCTAGGCGTGTTAGATGAATAGATGGTGCCGTTTTCCCCACCATTTCCGACGATAATGACACGCACTTGATTTCTAACACTTTGGCGCTCATTAACAACGCTTCTGCTCCCAGGGAAACTACCTACGAGGATGGTTTTCTGACGTAGGTTTCGCCTGGTGACCGGAAACTGCTCCAGGACGGCCGAACCTAGTGGTAGCTCGGGACGGCTCTGGCGACTTCAAGACCGTCAAGGCCGTCCTTGTTGCCGCTGCTATGAGGCGGCGGCGTGGCAGTGGACGGTTTGTCATCCATATATAGCGCGGCGTTTTCTGGGAAAATGTTGAGATTTGGAGGAAGACGAAGAACATCATGCTTGTTGGCGATGGATTGAGGCGCACCATAATCGCCGGCAGCCGGAGCGTTGGCGGTGGTTCCTGATGCTGGTAAGAATAGGCTAAGAGACTAAGAGACTAAATACATGCAAAGACCAAAATGTCCAGGACAAATCGGAGCTCTTGCATGAGTCTTGACGGAATACGGCCATAGGGACTAAATTGACGAAAAACAATTACTTTCGGCGACTAAATCGATGAATACGCGATTGTGGGGCTACATTGACAAGTCGCAAATACTACTACTACTATTATTATGATGATGATGATGATGATGATGATGTAAATTTTGCTTTTTATACTACATACTTATTCCCTTCCAATCCCATATGGGCATAACTAACCATAAAATTGAAATTTCTAATAATTCTATTCTTGCAAATTAAATACAAACACTGAGATTACTACTACTACTACTATTATTATTATTATTATTATGATGATGATGATGATGATGTAAATTTTGCTTTTTATACTACATACTTATTCCCTTCCAATCCCATATGGGCATAACTAACCATAAAATTGA